CAAAACAAACTGCGCAAAACAATATTTTCTTCTTTATCATTACCAGCTTGTTAAATTCCACTGTGTGAAAACAGACTTTCCTGATGTAGGAAATGATGGTCGATCACAGTACGACAATTCCCACATTTCCCAAAAGCCTAAAAGAAAAAGTGTGTGGATCAAAGTGGTATGCCAATAAGAGTTAAAACTGAACCACAGAATACATAATAGTATTACGCCGAGACATAATTCTTCACTGTTGGACATTTGAGGTTTAAATTCCCTTAATGAGCTATGGTAGAACTTCCTATTATGATAGAACTGTCACAAGGATATCCACAGTACAACTAAAATAATCTACATAATTACCGTATAACTAAGACAATGTAGCAATAGGTCATATAGCCCGTAGTACAAATACTCGTATATCAGTTTTTCTTTGCGGCTGCATCGCCACTATGATTTATTTAAGAGATATTAAAGTTGAAATAACATGTAATCATAAACCGTAATAAACGAAACCTAGATTTTATTACAATAATGTCAAATATTTGACCATTCAAATATATTAAGTAAGACTAAGTGATATGATATATAAATATCTATAATATAGCTACATGAATATTGATAAATGAGATTAAGAACGTAACATTATAAAATAATAAAGACTCAACAACACCTCCTTACTGTGCGTAATGCAAAACCTGCTTTTATAGTTGCAGAATTTAGATATAAGATAAGGATTTAGAATACAAAAGTACGCAATCTTCTTGATGACATAGTTCCAAGAACTACACAGTTTGTTATTAAGTCAATGGATATATCTCGTTTTATTTTACTATTTAAATAATATAAAATAAGGGTCATCTTTACGTATAATAACAAATATATATTTTTACACAGTTCACTCAATGGTAAGTGGATGCTATTTCCATAATAAGAAATTGCAGATGCATTATATTCATGAGGACTAAGATGCATTCCTTGCTACCAGTAAAAAGGATTTTTTTAAATAGAATTAAATGACAAACGAGCACGCAGTCCACCTGATGGTAAGTACTGTGATAGATATAAGATACTGTGGCCCATAGGCATCTACATTTATCTTTGATTTAGAATCAAAACGCAGATGCGTTGTCACAACTCACAATTGAGAACTAACATGGAATGCCTCGTTTCCAGTAAATAAGGGTCTCCGGATCTCTAAGCTCACCATACGAAACACAGCAGCATTAAGCTGCTATTTTACGCTGGTATTCTGTGAGAGCGTAGTCCTTTCCCGGTCGAGCCGACCCATTAGTGCTACAACAATAATATATAGCTGTAGCGTGGCTCTACCACGTATATAAAGGGTAGCCGCTTCATCCGCTTCAGTTACCTTATGTGAATGATTACAAAGGATTTTTTTTTAATTTTAATCCATATGCCATTATAGTGTAAATTTCATGAAAAAAGAAGGAACGGTTTTTTACTTTCAAAACCGAGAAAATATATAATGAAGTTTAGAGTAATAGATAGATAAAAATTATATTAAAATGTTTAGATATTTATTTGTTTATTAAATTATTATTCGATTGCGTCTATTATGATAGCGGGAAATAAATAGGTAACGATTTTTTGTAATAAACACAATACAAATGAATTCTTAGGACGTTACTGTAGATAAGCTTGCTTGCAGGTTTTTTATCTGACCAACAGGCAAGGTGTTTTTATTACTGGGATATTATAAGGAAAATGTTACTGGCCATCTCCTGTCTCAGTTTTCCCTCTGTTGTCTCTAACGACACCCGCGGGATAATATGGGATAGGTTGTGGATTCTCTTACTATGGGATCCACAACGTTTATGGCGATATCTGTTAAATACTTTATTTATTAAGGTACCACTAACAAAGTTCTATATAATACGACGTTATCATAAAGGTTAACAGAACTATGTTTACTTCAGTTTACTTACACCAGATGACATTATTTTGTATAATCTATATCACGCGGTATATTAAACAATGATTAATTTGATTCACCTTGTGATATTTTACTACAATTATAATATTATTTGCTTAGAAGTATATTTAATCCCAATAATGGCTTTTAATCTTCTTTAATGTGTAGTATAACACACCCACGGTGTCTTTTTGTTTACTTGTCACTTAATCGACACCTGATTAGAGAACTGCTTTCTATGTTATAATTCCCATGATTTACGTAACAAATTAAAAGGCACAGTTACACTTTTATTATAAAACTGAGGTGATAAACAAACTTACAATGCCATTTTTTATAGTAGAAGGGTGACAAACGAGCCCACAGTCCACCTGATGGTAAGTGGTTGCTATATATATCATCGATTACGAATCAAAATGCAAATGTGTTGTCACTCGTGAGGACTACGACGCAATGCCTCCTTTCCAGTAAAAAGGGTCTCCGGTTCTCTACACTTATCATACGAAACACATCAGCGTTACGAGTATCTTGCTATTTTACGCTGGTATTCTGAGAGAGCGTGGTACTTCCCCGGTCGAGCCGACCCATTCATGCTATAACTATACTATTAATATAGCTACAGTATGGCTCTACCACGTAGAAAACCACCTAATGATAAGTCACTATTGCAGTCAAAGTAGCCACTAAACTGTTACCGACTTGAGAGAAAGAAGGCTAGAGATGCGTTATCACCTCTGGGACTAGGATTAAATTCCTAGCAGCCCGTAATTATATTGTCTCTCTTATAACATTCAGACAGGAAAGTAGCAGTTATAGGCGTTGATATTTGACTGCAGAAATATGTAAGAAATAGTACTCACCCAGATGGATTTCTAGTCAAAAAAGAGTCCTATCACCATTGAAGTAATATGTACTTACGTACTAGAACAGCTATCTCAAACAAAAAATGTGCGCTACTCTGTGTTCGCGCGATTGTTTTTTTATCATAGAATAAAAATATAGGTAGAAAGATCGGTAGGTAAATGTAGATTGTATTGTTAAATAGGTAAATTATATCGAAAACAATATTTAAATTTTGTCATTTATTTTGTATATTATATTTGCTTCTTTAATATAATATTACATAATATTATATCACAATTACATTTTAATGATATTTTTATCTGAATATTTTAAAAAGGTATCTATGTCAAATATAAAAAACATACTAAATATATGTTTATAAAAACTTATTAAAACAACATTTATACAAACAAATATTTATATTATTTATTTAACTTCGAATAAGAGTCGTTCATAAATGCTGGGCACGCGAGAGTTAAAACTGGACGAATTTATTCGACTTTGACTTTGAAGTGGAAATCTAAAAATAAAATAAAAGAATAATAAGCAGATTTAAATATTTAAAATTTAGTCTAATTATAATAACTTATATATGTTTCTACAAAAAATGTGTATAATAATATATTCGTCCTATTCTTAAGTACCCACAGATATGTCGCATCTGAACATATTAATTTCATAGTCTATATTCCAAGACACGAGATGGCGTCTTAGAAATAATTTGTTTTATTATTAATCTATAATACTTTTTTATTGATTAAGATCTTATTAACCGATGAAAAGTAATTCCTTGGTTTTTACTGATATTTCTTGAATTATTTGTACAATATCTAAGTACACACAACGTCATATTTTTATCAAGAGATTTTTTTTAATCAACGCAACACGTGACGACTCCACAGGCGCCTAGCGAGTGACTGATTAATGTGCGGTGTATGCACCGCAGTTGAGTGGAACAGAGTAGCTGCATGCAGTGTCGCCTCTAGTACATAGTACATAATAGCTCAATGCCTATCACCTACTATCATTCCATATACAACTACGGAGATTTTGAACAGGGATTCAAAAACAGTGCTCTTTTCTATTCTATCCGGTCAAATGGGTAATGGAGGACTTAATATATCCTCGATATATTCTTAATTCTTTGAAAAAAAAATTATGTTATCTCACGGTGCTTTCGCTTAGCGTCAAGCCCATATTACAGCATTCAAATCACAATTAAGAAACGCGATCATTATTAATCATAAGAGATCGAACCCACGTTCCTCATGTAGATACTATGAAATCAAAATTAAGAATTAAAAATTAATTTAATTACGTAGACTGAAGCCAGATTATTAATAATTATACTTTTAAAAATAAGAGCTGTGACATCTCAGGGTCTAAGTGGTCGTCGTAAATTTCAATGCCATAAAATTCAAAGTACTCTATTTCTATAATGAAATTGTTAATTTTAAGTTTAAATACAGATTTGGTATGTGCTGGATACCTTGTCTATTTACATTTGTTTCAAATAGAAATAATTATGTTGGTATTGAATAAATAATAGAATACGTAGTGCCATATATTCTAAGGCGTAAAAGTGTAAAAGGTATAAATTGTACATGGAATATCATCATATCCGTTACCATTATTTGTAAGGCCATACAGACATTTGTTTCGTGCAGGAATCGAACTCAAGGGCACACTCAAACATTAAGCTGTTGTGCCACCGAGCTATCTACCACCACGCCACGTACCACTGTTTTACAAATTTTCACGGCCAAACAGTGTATGCACTGTTTAGTTTCGGTTTCACGGGTCAGAGAAAGAGAGATTACGGGCTGTGAGACATTTCGTCTTCTTCTAAATGGTCATCAACCATCTATCAAAACAATATACTAAGATTTTTCTGGTGTTTGAAGCGACACGTTTAGGAGTACGAACACTGTCATAAGTTTGGATACACCATTTGACTATTATCATGAAACACTCCCAACTCCTAACTTTAAGCTTACTTGGAGTCGTTAACGGGAGTATTAGTAATGTTAATACCTGTGACTAGTATTTTCTTATTTAAAAAAAATCCCATAGTTGCCTCTTACCACACCCATGGAGTGAAATGGGGTGATGTGATGCACCACCCACCGATTTCTAACATAAAATATTTTTTATTTTATTTATTATATATTTATATATATTTGATAATACGTAGTCTTAATATACCAGTGTTTAATTTATTGGAAATTTCTTTCAGCCAGATCCTGTATATGAACCACCACGCTTATAAGATTCCCGAAAACTACAATAGAAACATTCCACCTGGTGAGTAAATTTTATTTTATTAGGATTCGACTATATACTTCATGTTGCTACCTTATCATGTGTGTGTATATGTAAATTTGTATGTACATATATATGTATAGATATATATTATGTAAGTGTACGTTAATGTACGCTTAAACAATGTTGTTTTCAAGTAATACCTATTATTATGATGATTTCTACCACAGTGACTTCTCTGAATGTTTTATTTTTAATTTTTAGCTTTAGGTAATGTATATCCGTCCTTGAATAAATATTGAAAATCAACACTGCTGTCATTTAGTACAGCAGCAATTAGCTGAAATAGAGATCTAATTTGACTTCACATTAATTCTGTGGTATTTTTATTTATTAATCTCATGTTATAATTTTTTTATTGTGTAATGTTAAATAACTTTCCTTTCTTTCTTTCTTTCTTTTCTCTCTTTTAAATTGTATTCAATAGCGCGGCAGCCCCCGTAGGCTTTAAATAATTTCTTTAACAGCCTTTTTGCTAAATATTTTAAGTATACATATAAGTTGGGGTTGTTCTGGGTCACGGTCCTGTACCATATTTCAAGTGTATATATAAGAGAGTTAGGATATTTCTAGCTCAGTTTCCTATATCATTTAAACATATACAGCGATAGCTGTGCCCCCAGTTTATAATTTGAAGCATATAGCTATTTTCAAATATTTTAAACACCGTTGTAAGTTACATTAATTTATATTGTATCTTTATTTAAAAGTGGAAAGTAATTCTCAGCATCAAATTATAGACAAAAAGAATATTTATTATGTATCAAAACATTGGCGCTACAGCCTATCAATTGCCACGCTTGGCATGCTGGTTGGCAACTACAGTATTTTGCAGTTTTTCAATTCTATTAATTATTAGGAAGACGCTGCTGCCTTTCTTCTGATTTGTTTCTCTCTGTCGCCTATTACAACACCTAGTCACTTAAAACATTATTGAATTGTTATTATCAATCATACATATATATATATATATATATATATATATATATATATATTGATTGATAATATATATACAACATGTAACAAAAACCCTGTGGTTCCCGTTAACAGCTTTTAACAGTTTTTTTTTTAAAACATTTAAAAAAAATTATTTTAATGAAAAAAAAAATTAATTTGCAAATTGTATGTGGTTTTATTATCTATATATATCTATCTATATTTATATATATATAGATATAGATATATATATATATATATATATATATATATTTATATATATATAATATAGATATAAAGATATAGATATATATATATGAGGGCGCGGATCGCGAACTCAAAAGGTCGTGGGTTTAAATCCGCCATTTGGCTACTGTCGTGAACCACTCCTAACACATGCGTTTCAAGCTTACCAGGAGTAGTCAAAAGGAATATTAGTAATGTTAATTAATAAGATTACTAATATTTAAAAAAAATCGTACTAACGATCTTAATCACCATATTTCTTTAATAATTCGGGACTATATTAGCTATGTATATTCCTGTTATATATGTGTTGTTGTGAAAGATCTTATCGTAATGATTAATGATTATTCGGTTAAGAAAATTGTATACAATATTAAATTATAATAGCAAGCTATTTTTGAAGTTTCTTAAATATAAAGGCCACAATTTATGCTTGGCTAGAATGATGCATCTAATCCTAAAAACGGCTATCCACTTAAGACCGGACGTTATACAGCAAAACACTTCCGACGCACAGCTTACCATTAGTCAAACTATTGATAACCTCAAATTTATACGTTAACGATATTTATAATAGTTATAAGGTATACTCTAACTTGTTATTAAGCATACTCGAAATGGAATTGAGGTTACCAGTAGAACAAGAGTAACCGACATAGCGCAACGGATCAGTGATCTGAAGTAGGAATGTTACAGCTATATAGCTCGAAGAACAGATATCCGATGGGGATGAAAGGTTCTAGCGTAGCAACGATGCGACGGCAAGCGAAGTGTAGAGTGATCTCCACTAGATAGAGTGGCGACCTGGTAAGATATTCAGAAGGTCGATGGAAGCAGATGTCAGAGCTTTGGTTCAGCAATGGACTTGTGAAAGGTCGTAACGATAATGAAGATGATATTCTAAATCTTCAAATAATGTTCTTAGTCATCATTAATCATAATTGATGGAAAACAAGAAAATATAAATATAAATGGATAATATCACCATAACATTACGATCGTGAATATTACCGTGAGTAATGGTCGCCCCCACACGGTCAGTTCAACTGATCAGTTCAAAATAAAACTGTTGATATTTTTTAAAATATTGGATTTTCGATATATCGATAAATAAACTTATATATAAAACTCCGATATTGATATATTTATAATTATCGATATATCAAAAATTCAATATTTTAAAAAATATCAGCAGTTTTAGTTTAAACTGATCATTTGGAATGATCAGTTGAACTGACCGTGTGTGGCGTCCATAACAGATGCCAGAAGGATATTAAATCAGAAGATGGGCAGCAGGTCAGCAGGCAGGTCCCCTAACAGTGACTACAAATAAAAAAATTGAGATTGCCAACCCGCTTGTCAAGCGTGTCTGGCAACTATGGCAAATATCCCCCTATGAGGTAATCTATGGGGGAGGCCTATGTTCAAAAGCATATTTTAAGACGACACATCGAAAACGCTATCGCCGTACTGATCCGAGTGAATACATAATTTCTATAAAAACTTGAAGAAACGCCGTCATAAGGTCTAAAATTGCGTGGCGCCCGCGACGATTAAAAGCGCTTAGAAAATGTCAGAATCTTAAAATATTTTTTAAAAAATTATTGATTTAAGTTATCAAAATAATGATGTATATTATGAATATAGATGTTATGTATATATATGATGATATCCCATACATATAGATCAAATGATTTCGTTGTAATTTCAACTATAGTGATTTTTAGAGGTGTTTTCGCAAATAATTATGATCGAGTCAAAATTATACAATCGTGTTTTTGAGCAATCAAATTCAAGATAAAGACATGAATTTACCTATATCAAAATCCCACTTTCGTTAGTGGTGTGTCATAGTCCTATACTATTCGATGAAAGGAGGTGCATTTTTTCACGGTGTCGCCTTAATAGGCTGTAACGGTCACGGTAACGGACGATATTATAAAAATATTTCTTTCGTTTACTGCAATTTGCTTTTATGCTTTCTAAAGGATTTAATCAATCAAAAACATTTAAAGTGATAATATTATGTTACTCAAGGAGTTTATCTCTGTCGTTCTTTTACATAGCTGACATCCTTTTAAGATACAGAAGTAATTTATTACATTTAAAGTGATAATATTATGTTACTCAAGGAGTTTATCTCTGTCGTTCTTTTACATAGCTGACATCCTTTTAAGATACAGAAGTAACAATGGGTGAATCATCCAAAGTAAACCGATCCTCCTTGTACATAATATACAGCAATATTAACTGGTTAAAAATTATTTACAAAATTGTAATATTTGAAGAAAATTTTATCTAAGCCTAATTACTGCAACTATAAAATTACGATAGTGTTTTTAAATATAGTTAAGTAATATTCTTAATTGTAGTTTTTTTTTTTTGTTTGTTTTGTGTGTAACCTTTAAGTTAGATTTAATTTAATACTTTATATGTTTTAACAATGTAAACAAATTGAAAGCGATTTAAAAAATATCTAATATTACTTAATGTTTAAAATGATAATAATGATTATAATCCTTTGGAATGAGGTCATTGTTACCAATCTATTTCAATTTCGTTTTGTGTAGTTAATTATGAGGTATGTAGGATGGAATGGGATTATCTCTGCTACCCGTTAGGGATTTGCGTGAAGTTGTAGTGTAACATAATATAAAAGTTAAGTTGATGTGAAAATCATACATTTAAATTCATACAATTTTTTTTTTTGAATTTGAGTTCTTAATTTTCTTTCTCGGATCGTAGGGAGAAAAATTACGAAAGTACCGGAGACCCTGTCTGCTACAAACGAGGCATTTCATCGTAGTCCTCAAGGGCGTAACGACAATCTGTGACCCATAGATGTACTGTATAGACCACAGTATCACATATTTCCGGTGAACTATGTGCTCGTTTTGTTTTTAGTATAGTTATATATAGTATAGTATAGTTAGCTGGTACCCGGCGCGTTTTACATTTGGAAGTTATGTTGTTTAATTAAGAATGATAATACATTCATTGAAATTGAATGTTATACACCTTTCAAAATAAATTAATCGGTGCGATACGCGCGCCACCTACAGTAATTTAATTCTACTGTACCTATGACCTTCGCGCAAGTGCCAGTAATAACTTGACAAAGTTTTACCGCAATCTGGTAAACGGTATGGCGGCGCATAAAATATGAACAAACAAAAATTTAATTTTTTACAATAGATATAGGTAGCATTTTTTTTAAAACGACTTACATGCATTTTATTAAATATATCAAAAATAACAATGCACTTTGTTAATAATTTATATGAACGGAGGAGTCACTCTGCTTTTCATGATGGTTACATATACCTGTATAAATTTATAGCAGTTATATATAGAGCTTAAATCCTGAGATTACCGGAGATATCTCCAAGCTTGTCATAAAACAACTGTTTACAAGACTACCCGTGCAAATTCCATATATACTAATTTAGTAAAAACACAGAAATGGCTACTTAATAATCATTATTATAATGAAATAATTTTTCAGGTAAAAATACAACTGTGTACATCGGAATTAACGTCCATCGAGTGTCTGGTGTTGACGAAAATAAAGAGGTACGTATATCTCGTGTATGCTAAATACAAAAATTTTTGAATTAATCAAAGGCTTAATATATTACACAATTATTTAAAAACTCTAAAAACGATGAAGTACTGGTTGCCGGAGTTCATACCGCTTTCTGGTCTAATAGTATCTAGCATTTTAACAGATTGGTGATTAATTTAGTACAATACGTAAAAAAATATTCCAAAAAAAGTACGATTATGATAAAAAAACAATTAAAAATTTACTTTTTGTATATTTTACTTTTTGTAAATTCTTACAATACTTTCCTGAATCCAACTTACATGAACAAAAATTGCACATATTAGTGTAATTTTCACATTTCGCATAAATTGTTTTCTCTGAAGAACTAGTTTCAACTCTTACAAACCAGTACCTATGTACCTATTGTTAATCATTATTACAATACTTTAATATCTTTATTATGTAAATTTAAATGACTTTAACTTGTAAGTAAAATCTAGCCGATTTCATGAACATCAGTTGCGGCTAAAATTACGTACGTTCGTTGTAATATTCATTATCTTGGTCACGAAAACGCAATTTTAAGCTCATCAGAATATCAACGTCAACGAAACAATGATATATTATAAAAAAATTATATCACGTAACATTTAATAATCTACCATTTAAATTCAAAGCTTGTAAAATGAAGCAGGGGGAAAAGAGGAATAAAACGAGGAATAAGTTAAGCGTATAACTATAAGTTAATAAGTTAAGTTATAAGAAACAATTAATTAATAATAATGGAAACATCTTTTAAAAATAATAGCAGCAAATAATAATAATCATAGCAAAAGTGTTCTTATCCGAGATTGTTACAAGTATATTTGTAATTTAAATACATAGATCAATTACTAAAAATTTATTATTAAATAAACATTGGTAGTCCACAGCTTATTATGTAAAATATTGAAAGCTATAATCTCATAAGTCCGTTAGTCTCGCAAAAACTCAAAAACGGCTCGACCGATTTTGGTGAAATTTTAGGTGTGTATTTAAGATTTAAGTGGATGGTTTAAGAACTCAGTTGGACCCGGTAGCTGGTGTTGTTGTCGAGATCCAAAAATCACCAATGCGAATTAGGGGTTGATCGCTAGTTAATTATAAAATTAAGATATAGTAATATTATATATTATAATAATATTATAACATTCTTAAAGTTTCATTGATGACAATTATGTTTCATTATCATTGTTTAGTGACACTTATGTTCACAATAATTTTATCAGTCCTAACAGTAATAACCTAAAATATTATTCTATACGTTATATCATAAAATACTATTCTATAATCTGTCTCCTCCTTTCGTATTTAATTTCGTTTTTAAAAATCGAGTTAACGATGTTTATAACATATGGTATACATGATTATAACATTTTTTTAGGAAATAACTCTGGATATTTTCCTGCAAGTGTCATGGGAGGATGGCCAGTTGCAAATCCCGCCTGGCATGACCTTCATAGACCTTCCATGGGAGTTTCGACAGTTAATTTGGACGCCGGATCTGTACATTTGGCAACTGCAAACCATGAGAACTATGTCCGTATTACAAGAGATGGCTTCACTCAGAGTTTACTCAAACAACACCGTATCAGTCAACATAGGGTTCGTAACGTATTACTGTGTATTTGTGTTTAAATCTCAAATTTAATTATTTACATGTATAAGTAAACTAAAATATACAACTTGTAAAAAATGGAACGAAATCAAAATCAGTGTGAAAATAATATCCTCCAGACCGAATTTCGGTCACGGCGGCCAGCCTCAACGGAGACTAGCCATCAGCGCAGGACAGGATTATAGTGCCCAAGTGTATGCGCAAGCACAGGTGCACTCTCTATTCCCTCACTCTTATAATCCAATTTTTTGTATATATTATTATTTACAGTAAATATGTTAACGTAATTTTAAACAGACAATAACTACAATAATTATATTACGTTTCATTTTTCAGAGCTACAATAACAATCAAATGTCAAATGGACTTCGTTCTTTACCCGTTGGATGTGCAGAAATGTGCCATCGATTTCGGCAGTTGTAAGTAATAAACTTTTTTTGGTAATTCTATGTTCTGTCTGTAATTGTGTATGAATGTGCATGCAATTTAGAGAATTCACAGCCCTATCTGTTCTAGATTAAGATATTTAAATTAACAGTGTAGTGGCAAAGTAAAATTATCTACTAGGTACTCTGAGTTACTCTGTTGTAAAATTTCTCGACTATAAAAAAACAGAAAGATCTCATGGTCTCCGATAGACAGTTGCATAACTATGGCGGTCAGGCCAGATATAACGTGATAGAGCCATGCTGCAGCTGTAGTGCGGTAAAGATTTAATCTGTGTGTTCAACCGGGGAAGGACTACGCTCTCACAGTATGAAACACGATTCACAACAATGTGAAATAGCAACATAGCTGTGTGTATCGTACGATGAGTGTAGAAAACAGGAGACCCTTTTTACTGCCTTCTAAGTCCTCAGGGGTAACAACGCATTTGTATTTTAATTCTTAATCGATGACTGATGTAGTTGTTTACCGGCCATAACATTACCATGAGATAGATTGTGTGCTCGTTTGCCACCCTTATATTATTCATTAAAAACATGTAAAACATCCAAATCGATAACGAGGAGCGGTCTCAATGGATTAATTAGCAATCCACTTGCCAATGATCGACTAGGTCAAATCTTCCCGACAATGTAACAGACGCTTGTCCAGCTATGGACTGTTGCAGGCTGATGATGATGAAGCGAAAGAAAAAAAGATTCAAGCACATATTTCTTATTGACCACCATATAAGTGAAATTCATAAAAATAATAATATTGAAGTCTGAATCATAGAAGAAACTTAATCATATGAAAGTATTACGATACTTATAACAAAAAAAAATAATTTTTTGTCTGTTTGTGTGTTTGTTCCGGCTAATATCGGAAACGGCTGGACCGATGGACTTTGACCGGCAGATAACTGATGTTATAAGAAGTAACTGTTTTAATTTTAGAAAAAGAATTAGGGTTCCGCGCAAAAAAACACGAAATCCAATCGTAATAGATTCGATACTAAACTAAATTAACTAAGTCGCAATAAATAGCCAGTCATCTCAAAAAAAATAATACATTCATGGTATGCAACGCTTAGATAAAATGTTTCTATTTTCATACGCAAATGAGTATTCAGACAAGGAAAAAATCACACTTTCACAGTCCTCCGTTATGTTTGGTCCGTAAGTGAATCTCCCACCCAGCTAAGTCTAAATAGTGACCTCTGACTTTTAATTAACAAAATTAAGTTAAGTTACAGCCTATATACTCGTACGTCCTACTCGTAAGCACGTACCTCTTTCCATTACTGAGAGGGTATTAGGGCAAGGAAGTGTCCACCGCGCTAAGGCGTGTTGGTGGACTTCACATATTTTCGAATTTTCTTTCATTCTTCGGACATACCGATTTCCTTACCATGTTTTAACATACTTTTGCGGGCCACAATTAATGTCTGGTACATGGCAACACTAGTTACCACTAGCGCCTTCTAATATCGAGTAGCAGAACTAGGAGAGTCAAGATCTTTCTAGAATTTTCCATGGAAGAACTTTCTAGATTTATAATTAATTGCCTAGTCAGCCGGGACCAGTACGTACTCGAACATTCTAGATGTTTCTACAGTAGAAGGTTCTCGAATTATCTAAGGCCCTATATAAGGTCGGTATAGACCACGACTCGAGCCAGTATTGATGAATTGGCGATTCAAGCGAATACTTCGAAACAATACAACTGCCAAATAAAGTGATCAGTAGTACAATTGTGTTTTGTTATTAGTGTGGTTTTAAGTTGTAATTAGTGTTCTGTAATTAAAGTGTCAATTTTGGTAATTCACTCGGCAGTGTTTAATTGTCTCGAATCCCAAGCTCGTAACAATGCCTAACACAGTTTGAGGTTGAGGAGTGATGAATGAGTTCTTCCACAGTCTTCCAAGTATAACTATTAGCTACTAACACTTCCGTTGACCACTCAGACTGAGCTGATAACGCTGGTGCTAGGTTCACGATAAAAGTCAACCAACTACTTTTTAGTTTCGCAAACCCGTAACCATCAGACTAGTGTTTAATCGCTTATCGGTTTAACTTGTCAGGTAAACGATGATCTTTCAGATATGAATTTAAAGGTAGTAAATATAAATAGTTTAGTATATTTTGAGTTATATTTCGCCTCAGCGTATTTAATTGTTTTATATAATTTATGATCATCAATTATTTAGTAAAAGACAGCCGCGTTCGCTCTTCCAAACCTTTTCTTTTTATGCAAATGACTTGCGCTGAAAGTTATTTAATAGTAATACAGACTCATGATTTAAGTTATGAATAATTAACTTATACATTCAAAAGTCCACTGCTGAAGCGGCCTCTTTCATAGTTTGCCTGATAGTAGGGATAATAGACATAGTTACGATGCTTAGCAAACATAATGGCAACCGGAGTTATTTCATCATGATTAAATTAAATCAAAAATACAAACGTTCATTCTTGGATCCGATAGACGGCGCTGTAGTCAAATTATTAACAAATTCTTTATTTATGTACGAGAAGGACTAATGTAGTTTTAGGGCCAAAAAAGTAAAAAACAAAATCTAAACCCGATAGATAGCGCTGTGATCGAATTATCAATAAATTTTATATTTACTCGGTAAAAACTTCGGAGTAAATTCGGAGTCTAAGATCCTTTAAATTCTAAGCAAGCAAACGATTTGGGAATAGTCCGTCCGTCTATCCATTATAGGTTGCACATAGAAGAAGCAAGACACTATAGACTGTAGTCAAACAAATGCACGGAGTAGAAAATGTCGCCAAAGTATTTTAATATTGCTAACCAATAATTACTGACAGATTGACTGAACAAGCTGTGACTTTTTTTTGTAATTTCGAATGTCCCTTTTTCAATAGTGTGTAGAGTGTATGTCAAAGCAAAAAAGTGTTTATTTTAATTTTTTATAGGTATTAGACATCTTTGTTGTGCAGTTTGTTTTATATATTAAAACGAACCTACAATATTTAATTGATTGCCGAAAAGAAAAGATATTTTTAAAATAAAATTGTTTCTATAGGTATGCTTATAGGTTTCTACTATCAGAAATGTTAAGCCGTTTACACCTTAACAAAGGCTGTAAGAAAGTTAGCCCCCAGGGTCCCTGAAACTTTAAAAACGGCAGTCTGCTACATTACATACACAAAATCTTCTCTTTTTTTCTCCTCTTACACCTGGATATACTCCCCTCCATCACAGTAGTTACATTGTATCAAAATCACAAGCGGGCAAACGGATCAGCGATCACAAGCGTATTACACCTATAACGTTGCTCCCCGTCATTATTCAGGATTATTACAAATGTGTAAAAATTTAAGAATGATAATATCGCTATTCATAAAAAGCCATGAAATCTTACAAGCGTTTCCAACGGCCACATCATACGACATCTTTAACGATTTGTAATGATGGATAGATACTCTAACTATAGACCAGACTATAAACAACAATAATATATTTCGCATTTCATTCAGACAAATACACATCAGAAGACGTGCGTTTCGAGTGGCATGCAGGTGCACCGTGGCGGGGCCTGGTTGGGAAGCAGCCCAACCAATTCCGCTTGCCTAAATACGTGGTCACATTCGTCACGGACAAAAGTAATCATATTCGAAATTTTGGTGAAGGTAAATGTATACTTATTGCTTTGCGCTTAAGGTAGCGCCCCTTAAAATTAATTAACATGTATGTGTTTATTTACGCTAATGCTCTATCGCTGTATGCTCGCATGACGCTGCCAGTGCTAGACGCGGATGATCGTGACAGTAAAATCTATCAAAATCATTGATTTAAATAGTAAAGCTATTAAAGAATGAATCAAGTCTTGATTTATTTCTATGTCTCGATTGTGCGATTGCTGCATCCGTGCCTAGTACTATCCGTGCCTAGTTTCCTTTCCTTGAAATGTTTTGTGACTGTTGTGCACGTCTAGGCGAATGTCCTGTAAAACACACAGTTTTGTTGCACAATTTGTGTATTCGGAAATCTAGTTATGTGCTAAATCTAGTTATCAAGTGTTATTAGAACCCGATTATTCCCCGTATATTACAGAATTATTCACAAAAAGATTTGAGTTTTGAAATGTTAGATCTTCGTTAATGGTATCAATACAAATTTACTGTGTGGTGCCAAAAAACCTTACGTTTACAGGATTTTATCTCTAAGTTTATACATTTTTAATTTAAGGGGGAAGTATTTAAAACAATTGTGCAGCAAATAAGTTCAAAATGTAACTTATACAAATCATAAACAAAAATTTTCGTTCTTTTTTCACTGCAATGACCACGAAATTCAAATGTAGGTATTATGTAATGTAAGATAAGTTTTCGCACTGTGACTTATCCTTATTTACTATAAAGCAATTAGGGAAACACCTAGAAATTAAATATCTGCAGATCGTCGTAGTCTGTTATTTAAGCAGGTTAATAGTTACTAAGAATGCAATTAAGGTTGATAGAAAGAGTATGGTCACGCTATTTTGTGTAGGGCCATAAAAAGTACGAATCTTTACTTAATTTTTATTTTATTTTATAGGTGAACACTCAGCGGCACGGTTGCAAATCAAGTTGTCGAGGGAGCTACGCAGCTACCTCCTGGAGAGCTATCTCCCATCATCATTATTCGTCATCATATCGTGGGGGGAGCTTTTGCGTAATACCCGAGATAGTTCCCGGTCGAATGGTGCTCCTCGTGACTACACTTCTATCTCTTGTCACAATGTTTGACACAGTCAGGTATGAATTATAACAACAACACAATATTGTAGCACATACCGGTGATAAATAGAATGATATAATCATAAAGGCGAAGTTACAATTTCTTTTTAATTTCAAATCAATAATAATAATAAGAAAAATATAACATTTTCTATAAACGGCTTAGAGCCTTGTGCAAGCTCTTGCCTTACTTTTATACGTAGACACAACTGGAGAGAGATTAGGCGCAGGACTGACAGATTTACGTGCTTTTCGAGGCACCTAGTTTATACTAGAGATAGGCTGAATATGGATTTCACCGATTACGAATTTTCTGCCGAAAGTTCGGTAAAATTTCTACCGAACCGAATATTCAGCCGAACATTATTTGGCAGGATCACCTCGGTACCTAACTAGTTTATGCCTAAATTAAAGCGCGCGGGATTAGCGCTGGACCCTGTCCCTCGCTCATCATTTAGTACTGAGCAATTGCCGGCACATGCTTATGTGTTGATTATTTTTGTGAGAAAAAAGTATTTCGTTGTGTTATTCTTAGTGAAAATTGAAATGAGTGGCAGGAGATCTACTATTTGGACTTAGAGAAACTGACGACCAAAGTACAGTAAAATGTACCTACTAGTGTAATGTAATGTTTCATTATCTGATTCCAAAAATATTTTATCAATCTTTCTATTTGCTATAATTGTAAATACTTCTACAGTGCCTCAAAAACATAACGCTATACAAGTAGATTTAACCCATAAATAAAATATACTTTCAACAGTAAAATTATGTAAGGCATGGCATTACTCAATTCGTATAGTTCAATACAGTGGACACTTTGAGTACTAGGCTGCACTAAAAGTATCGGGAATGGAATATTTCCACTGTTCCTGTCATATTAAAATCTTTTTAATTGAAAACTCCTTGGTTTTAAAAATCGAATACCATTTATTTATTTAAAAAATGATTCTCGGTCTTGTCACAAGGTTTTGTCAAACTTGTTTAGTCGTTGAGAAAATGGAATTGACTCGAGAAAATTCAAGAGCGATGATTTATTATGACTTTCTAAGTGGTTTGACACAAAAACAGTGTGTTGACCGGATGATTTCTGCATTTGGTGATGAAGCCACATCCAAAACCACAATTTATCGCTAGTTTGCTGAATTTCAATTTCAGAATTTCAGTCACCCAAGAAAACGTTGATGCTGTGCGTAATCTGATTGAGGAAGATCGACATGTGACATACCGCAAAACTCAGGCGACTTTCGACATTGGCATGAGTCAAATACAAATAATTTTGCATGAACAATTAGGTGTAAAAAAGTTGTTTTCCCGATGGATACCGCATTCGCTCTCTGAAGAGCAAAAAGCGGCTCGCGTTACTTGGTGCGTTCAGAACTCTCGAAAGATTCCACGTAGGATCCTCAAATGCTGTATACAACATCGTATCAGGTGACGAATCCTGGATATATGTGTACAAACCCGAAACAAAAAATCAGTCACGAGTTTGGGTGTTCGAAAATGAGTTGCCAAAAGTAGCCAACAAAAATTGTTCGTTCACGGAGTGTGGCAAAAAAATGGTGGCCATGTTTGTCTCCAAAACAGGCCATGTTACGACTATTCCTCTTGAGAGACAAAGAACAGTTAATGCAGAATAGTATGCTAGCATTTGTTTGCCACAGGTCGTTTCTGAACTCCGTAAAGAGAACTGCAACCGCCGCATCATCCTCCATCACGATAATGCGAGTTCTCACACCGCACACAGAACAAAGAGTTTTTAGAGCAAAAAAACATAGAATTATTAGACCATCCGCCGTACAGCCCCGACCTAAGCCCTAATGATTTCTATACTTTCCCTAAAATAAAGAATAAATTGCATGGACAGAGATTTTCATCACCTGAAGAAGCTGTGGACGCCTACAAAACGGCCATTTTGGAGTCCCCAACTTCCGAATGGAATGGTTGCTTCAATGATTTGTTCCATCGTATGGAAAAATGTGTCAAATTTCGCGGAGAATACTTCAAAAAGCAATAAATATATTTTTAAATAGTAATGTTGTGTCACTTCCTTGATTCCCGAAATTTTCAGTGCCGCCCTCGTACCACTTTAATGAATGTTCACTGATTTAACCGAATATTCGGCCGAATACGTGTATTTGATAAATCCGCCGAATATACCGAATACGGAATTTGAAACGAATATTCCGCCCGTGTCTAGTTATACAACGCTATCTTCCTGACCCCGGGCTACTTCTGAGAATTTCTTAACAAGTTTAGTTTCCATGAAAATTAAATTGTTATAATATTAAATAAATCATGTAAATTTGAAATTAAAGTTAACTTGAGTCAAAGGCTATTTATTTATTTATTTTTAAGTAAGAGTAATACTCTTACTTAACTCACGTTTACTGCAGGACACAGAATTTTCCAAAAAATTTGCCAGAAAGTTATGTCCTTTACTCGTAAAAGAGTTGATCTTACTCATCACGCTATTTTTTACGTGGTAAAGCCATGCTGCAGTTATATTAGTTGTAGCACGAATAGGTCCGCTCGACCGGGGAAGGACCACGCTCTCACAGAATACCAGCGTGGAATGGTAGCTTAATGCTGCTGTGTGACCAATTTTACTGGAAACGAGGCATTCCGTGTTAGTCCTCACGGGTGACAACGCATCTGCATTTTGATTCGTAATCGAGGATAGATGTAGATGTCTATGGGCCACAACAACCACTTACCATCAGGTGAACTGTGTGCTCGTTTGTCACCCTATTCTTTAAATAAAAAAAATCTGACGGGTGTATGAGTGCAAAAGCTTAGCACCGATAGTGTTGCTCTTCGTTATCAATCTAAAATATAGGAACAGTCGGTTGCGGTTGGATTTTTGGGAAAACTTTTTGGAAAAAGTTCTTTTTTATTGTCTTTTCAAGAAGTTTGTAGATATTTCCTTTGACCACTTCTAAGCTTAAAAATAGTATTATATGATTTGATGATAATTTTAATATCGAAATCTGTATATTAACATGTGAAGAGAAAAGTTTATACTTACCCCTTTTTAAGCATATTGCACACACGGAGAGTGTGAGATTTGGTATAGTTAATGATTATATGAAGATGATGAAGATACATATTTTATGTGTTCTAAATTTGACGATTTTTACGAATTTATTTCAAAGTACAAACATATTATGTATGTTGTCAAACCAAGAAGCAAACACTTAATAGACTGTGGTCAAACAATTGTACATAGTAGAAATTGTCAAATTTTAAAATGTTGCCAACAAATAATTACTGACAGATTAACTGAATAAGCGGTGATTTTTTTTGTAATTTCAAATGTCCGGGTCCCTTTTTCAACAATGTGTAGAGTATATTATGTCAAAGCAAAAAAGCGTTTATTTTATATTTTGTATATTAGACATCTTTGTTGTGCAGTTTGTTTTATATTATATTAAAACGAACCTAAAAATTTAGCGACTTACGGGGAAATTTCGATCACTGGACGATCACTAGTATGTAATTAATATACAACATTTCTAATATAATGACAACATTTCTGAAAACAATATGTTCTAGTTCAAAAACGTTTTTCTTTAATTAAAAAGTATTTCTGTTTTGTAGTACAAACTCGCCAGACGCCCTGGAGCTGAAGTGTATCGAAGTGTGGTTGATCTCATGCACGATATTCGTGTTCCTGGCTTTGCTCGAATATTTCGTGGTGCTGTTCGGCATCCGTTACGACAAAAGCTGGTGTAAGCGGCGGCAGGACTTGCGTAGGGCTCATTCCGTAGCGCAGCTCGCTCCTCCGCCTTTACACGTAAACCATTCACAGGTTCGAAGTTAATACTAATATTTTATAGATCTTTCTATATATACAATAAAAAATTAAATTTCAGGCAACAGCACAATTTCTTTATAGAAGAGGGGGCAAACGAGTATACGTTTCACCTGATGTTAAGTGACTACCGCCGCACATGAACAACCGCAACACCAGGGGAATTGCAGTTGCGTTGCCGGCCCTTTAGAAAGGAGTAAGCTCTTTTCTTGAAGGCCCCCAGGTCGGTCAGAGAGGTCGTATGCGGAAGAAAACTCCTTGTGAAACGTACAGTGGTAGACCGCCAAGCATTCAGATGGTGTGGATGGTATCGGGAGATTTGCCGCGTAGATTAATCGTGAGATTAATCCACACAATTCCTCAGAGCACTCCCCGTGATAGATGCGATAAAATACGCAAAGAGATGCAACATCTCCTCGCAGCGCCAGTCAATCGAGCTGATCGGAAAGCACTCGGTTGTCGACGATTCGATCCACTTCTGCGCTGGATGCGGTCAAGTGGAAGGAGTTGGCACTGGGGAGCCCCCCAGCCCAGAGATGCGAACAGTATTCCATGTGCGGCCGAACCTGAGCCTTGTAAAGTTGCAAGCGGTGTGCTGGCATGAAATACTGTCCCGCTCAGCTGAGCACGCCAAGCTTTTTAGAGGCCAATTTGGCCTTCTCTTCCAAGTGACCACGAGACGCATCGATATGTCAACGCCGAGGATTCCGGTACTGGCTGAGGCAACAAGGAGAGTACCTTGAAACTGAGGAGATACGACAAAGGGGTTCTTTTTGGCGGTTAACGCGCAAACTTGTATCTTCTGAGGGTTAAACTGGACTAGATTTAGTCGCTCTCAATCCGAAACTTTGTTCAGCAAAGCCTCGACTTCAGACACAAGTTTGTCCCGGCGCATTGTATATTTTAGTGACAAAACTTATTGAGAGGGAGTAAAAATAAGTAATTAATTACATTACTATAATTTCTAACAGTTTCAGTGATTTTAGGTTCTTATCCCAGCTTTTAAAATAATTAATTTCTGGAAGAAAACAAACATGCAGATTGTACTGTAAAAATGTTTTTTCTGGTATTATAATCCATTGTGTATTTAATTACAGGCGATTACATTTAATATGGACGGATGAAGGCTCTCGAATATCCTCTTAATTTACAGTTTTAGAAACATGTGATAATCACTGTTTTCTTACATTTATTGTGATCATACTACTTTACTAACATAACTATATAGTCTATTATACTTTACTAACATAACTATATACTTAGGCTTGCCACATATAACATACGGAATTCCATTTAGGAATTCCGAAACGGAACAAACGGGTCGGCCACACATATACGTAATCCCGTTTTTCCTGCAAAATTCCGTACGGAAAACTACCGTAGGTATGTGACGGGTCATCGATTTTGTATGGACTTGCTGCGTTCGGAATCCCGAATCAAAATTCCGAAACGGAATTCCGTTTGTATGTGGCCGACCTAGTCCTCACGGGTTCTTGATTTTGATTCGTTATCGAACATAGATACGGGCCACAGCAACCACTTACCATGAGGTGGACTGTGTGCTCGTTTGTCGCCTTTATACTATAATTTTTTTAGTAAGTGAGATTTTTATCATTTGATAGAAATAAGATATTTATATGATTATAAGAAAGTCATGGTTTCATTAATTGGTATTCCCATACAATTTTTTTTTTATAATCGGTCGTAAAAATCTAAATTGAAATGATTGTCAAGAGAGATATCAGAATATGGACGATGTCCTTACCCAATAAATCTGCTTTCCATAACCAGTCTAGAGAATCCTAAGATTTCCGTTTTTTTTATGTACGACGTTATATAATAATATTAGATTTCAACAAGTTTTTTTTTATTTATTTCACTGCCGGATTAGAAATTACAAAAATGATTCAATAGACAACGCATTGGATCACTTTGGTTATTATTTTGCGAGTAGGGATATGTTTAAATTTAATAATATAAGAAGTTAACATAAATATTTTTCATTAAACCGATCAAATCATTAAAGTAATATCATTAAATTCTTAGAGAATGGGCACACCAGTGACAGGAACGCCTCAAGGTGGCGTCTTTTCACCACAAATTAACGTTGAGGACGAAGGCCTGAAGCAACAATTCTCACATCAAACAATACAAAGGGTAAGATATCATATTTTTATGTTTAATGCTACCGCTATATCATTCTAAAATAATGAAGGCCTCAATAATAATCAAAAATACATCGACATAATAACAAAGTAAAATAAATATATAAAGATATGATATTGACCTCATTTTACATGTGAGCGGATAATGAAGTAAGAGAGAGTCGGCTACGTTACTCTTCCGCGTGTTGTACTACACAAGACTTCGAAATAAATTTTCCGCTCAACATGCAAGTTTCCTTAATATGTTTTCCTTCACCACCCAGTACGTAATAAATCAGCATCTAAATATTTAATGAATAGTTTCCGTGATACACCTGGAACGAACTTTTCACATTCAACACAATATACAGAGACCCTATGAGTTACTGCGGCTCTACTGAAATAAAATATTACATAAATTAAACTTGAGCCACAAATTTTTAGTCATCCTCCTTGGATAAATGGAGTTGGAGGGACAATAAGATTGGGTGTCAAACAAGATCATTTAGTAAGGTAATAATAGAGGCCATTGCACTGTGTCGATTGTTGTAGGTACGCGGTATTTTGACAGCAAATTAGTTTCACAAATATATTGTACTTACCGGAAAATGCAAACAATGTCGTGACAAATTTTACTCAGAATGAAATTAAAGTAATGAGCTGAACGTCAATTGTGCTTTAATGACGGTCACATTACATACGGAATCTCGTTTTGCCCGCAAAATTCCGTACGGAAAAACACCGTACGTGTGTGGCGGGTCATTGATTTTATATGGACTTGTGTTCGGAATCCCGAATCGGAATTCCGTATGCATGTGCCAGGCCTATACCTGCTTTTATTTGTAATATACGAGTATACGTACGATAGAAGGCAAAATACAACGATTTATTCACGAACGCTTCCAGTTCAGCACTTAGACAAGTAACACGTAGACCGCAAGAGTGACGATGTTAAAATAGATATCAAACATTAGTGTGTAATATCCAATTTTTTATTGTTTAATTTTTGATATCTTTGTAAAATAATTCCTGCCTCATTTTAATTTTAGGATTCACCTATATTGGAGACGATGCCGCCAAATGGGTCAAGAGGCTTTCTAGCGCGAATTGCTACCATGATGGACCACGGTGTGATGTTCTGTGGAGCACAACATGGAACACTAGATAAAATTGCCCTTATGGTGTTCCCTATATGTTTTTTTCTATTTGCTGTCATTTACTGGACCACTTATCTTAGTGAAGCGCATCGAGCAATGCACGAGTAACGTGAATTTGTGAACATATTTTAAAAAGACGTGCTCCTAAAACGTGTTTATAGTGCCTAATTTTACACCAAGTGATAAGACTTATTTGTACATATTAGACAAAGTGCTAGTCCATTTTTGAAACCTTAGTGAGACTTTAAAGACGTTATATTTAACAAAAAATGTAAAAACGATATAAGTAGTTATAAGTGTTGAAATTGAGTGCAATTATTTGTTAAATAAGCTATAATAATTACATATTTAATTAGTGTGATTTTAAGATTACGTGTATATTTATTATTTATAAAAACAAAATAAATATTTTTCTTACCATATAATTTATATAGCGCCTACAATCTAGAGTGCCTTCAGGCACGTTACTTATTGTACAAAATCATTTTAAATTGAAACGGATTATCCATTACAATGCCAGTTTTAACATAATATTACATATTAAATTACTTATTTAAAAAGTAACATTATGTAAATGGAATTTTATATTTAAAAGCGTGGAATTTTTTGCATAGTAGGTACAGTATAACAACTCTAAGTTTTTCCATTTAGGGTAGACTTGCAACAAATATTCGGCTTTAATCAGTATTCGGCCTATTCAGTTACTTTTATCCTATTAGATCGAGTACCGAATATAAGTACTTGAGTAAGATATTTTGTTGTAGTCAGATGATTGGTAAATTGAAAATATTGATTTATTTTGTAATAATGTATTTTTCTTGTAATTATTAAAGTAGTAGATACCTACATAATCAACTTCTGTATTATAGAAATTTAAAAAAAAACTATCAGATAAATGTCTATGCACTTGAATTATAATAATTAATGTTGAAAATTGTGTTGCAGAACGCCTAATTTTTCTGCATTTTCGGATAGTAGTTTACTACTTTTCTTCTCGTAGGCTATCCTAGCTTCAAATAATAGACGCTCTGAATAAACACTACTTCCTCCCCGGCCGAATTTTGACTAATATTCGGTTATTCGGTGAGGGAGCCAGCGGAATACTCGGTATTCGGCGTGTATTCGTTGCAAGTCTAATTTAGAGACTTTTGAGTTACAATCTACATACGGTATAATCAAAAAATATAATAGCATCATAGATATTTAAAAAAAATTGAGTGAATTTTTTGAGAGATGGCTTCGCATGCAGAGGTAATCATTAGCAGAAAATCGATATATTTTTCCATACACTAATGAAAAGTCCAATCTTCTCTCCTATTAAAATATGCAAACAGAGTCACTCAATCGTTCTAACATAGCAATAGATAGCTAGTGACATATTTTGTATAGCAGCATGAATAGGTGAGCTCGATCAAAAAAACCACACTCTCACAGAATACTACTAAATGTGTTTCCTGTGGTACCTAAGAGAATCGGTGGCCCCTTTTACTGGAAGCGGGCATTTCATCTTAGACCTCAGTATTTATGTAGATGTTTATGGGCAGCGGTATCCACGTATCAACAGGTGAACTTTGTGCTCGTTTGCCTTGACTATATATATATATCCTTTTTCTATGAATTTTTTTAGTGAAGTAGATCAAATGTCTAAGACACAGTGTGTATTGCATAAATACTAGCCGAGGATAAGATTCGAATCCAGAATTGGATATTTCTTATCTTAGTCAAAGATGAACTACAATGGTAACCAAATATTTTTGTTCAAAGCTTAAGAATGCTCTGATATACATACGTATATATAGGCACTAAAGGTCAATACTTTGTTTGTATTTGGTTTAAATAAATTAAATATGAATACATGTTATGTATATAATTATATCCTTTTTATTTGTATATATTTACATTTTTATTAAATTTACGGAAATAAAATGAATTTAGAATTTACGAGTGGCTCGTTATCGGTCAGAATTCGCTTATCGTATTTATAATACCATCAAAATTTTAATTGTATTTTTTTACTTTAATTAAATCTATTTCTATACAATGTAAAGCGACAATGCATTTGACCATATTTGATACTATATTCACCAATGATTTCTTATGAACAGTTTGTTAACTTTTTTGTTATGAGCATGAAATTAGAAATTATACTAAAGAAATAAAAAATATATGGAGTATAAAGGCGTAGAAATAACTTTAATTAATGAGGCATTTATCGTTTAGGAACGTTTGCTTTATGTGATGTCTTTGGGCCACAGCATCCACTTATCATCAGGTGGACTGTGTGCTCGTTTGTCACCCTTATTCTATTAAAAAAACAGCCTTAATGTGCCTAAATTGTTTGAACCACCTCGTTCAGTGTTTGTCGTCAAACTTAATTATGAGAAATCAGTACTAGGAAGCTCTCATAATCTCGAATAATATTAGATAACGACATAATCAGATACGGTGGATGTATGAACTTACATGACATGTGGTACTTCGATCGCCAACAAGTGTAGTGCCTGCAATAAATCCTTCCAACTTTGAAAAATTTTAAGCAGCAGTGTTTATATATATATATATATATTTTTTTTTTTTGTGTGTGTGTGTGTGTGTGTGTGTGTGTATGTATATATTGACCTATTGAAATGTATGTTATTTTTTTGTTCTTGCCTAGATGTTCCTTTATGCTTTAATCGTCTCATTTGATTCATAACAGATATTCAACAGTCTATAAGGTGATTATTTTATGGTACACTAAGGTACCTGCGGGTAATAAGGCCTAGCTAAGGGACATTTGAATAAAACGTGAAATGTATCCAATATCCGTCCCAGCGGCCAGTCTCCACGGAGACTAGCCTATCTGCACAGTACAGAATTATAGTGTCTCAATGTGCAAGCACAGGTGCACTCTCTATTCCCACACAATCATCAAATCGCAATCCAACACCGTCCGAGAGAGCTTAGGCGCAGGACCGGTGTTTCGTATGGTGAGTGTAGAGAACCGGAGACCCTTTTTACTGCAAATAAGGTATTTCATCTTAGTCCTCTCTGCATTTTAATTCGTAATCGAGGATAGATATAGATGTATGAGCCACAGCAACCACTTACCATCAGGTGGACTGTGTGCTCGTTTGTCACCTTATCCTACAAAAAAGGTATCTATATAATGTAGGTACCTAGTATCACATGACATTAACGGTTACACATAATATATTTTCTTAATTTGTTTCATTAAACATCAATAATTGATATCCAGAAAAATTGTAGACATAAGTATATTGAAGTATAATGTACTAACGTAGCATATTACTTCAACGAATAAGTACCAAAAAAAATTAATGGACGTGTATTTAAAACTGTCAGGGGACCATAGCGCTAAGTACTTAACTTATACAATATGTAACGTAATTAACGCACACCCTCAGACACCCCAATTAGTATATTATGTTATAATCATAATACATACATGAATTTTTAGTTAAACATTTTTATGCACTGATTATTTATCAAATTAGTTATACTAATTCCGGAAGAATGTTGTGATCACAGTACAAATCCACGAACGCAAAGACTTTAACTCGCTTGAAATAAAGTTCATTTTTCTTTATTTTTATTGAATGAGAGAATTAGTAATTATACAAATAAAACTGCACTCTTAAAAGTCTTATTGCCTTAAGTTACGATCCATTTCATTTTGTTTTGACCGTACAGATTTAGTGTGACTGTAATTTACGTAGTTTTAATTATTTTTGGGATAAAAAATTACCTATATTAAAAATGATAGGAATCGATTCAGTAAACGATTCTGAACAAACTACATTCTCAAAGTGCGTTAATTATGTTACGTGTTGTATATATACAGCTATGCCTTAACTTAGGTGCCTTACGGTTATATTATTAAATAGGAATAATACAATTTAAATAGTCTTGTATAAATACATCTATTGCTTATCTAATACAAGTATCTACTTATTTAACTTTTTCGCCCATTTACTAAAATTTTGCTAATAAGAAAAAATAAAATAACTATGTCGTGTAAAAATTTAATACAATTGTCACATATTATTTAATCTCTAATAAATTAAGAACATAAGAACACGGATATAACTTACACTTAATTTTAAATTAATGTAAAGTGGTTAAGTAGGAATTTTTTGTGAAAGATAAATATTATAAAAAAGATAAAGGTTATAATATCATCTGTGCAATATATAATCTGTGCAATACTCGTATACCTCGATGAGTTCTACTGCCTCTGTGTGTTATGAACGCGTAAGGGTCGTACCTAACATTTGAGGCTAATAAAAAAGGAATCCTTGTACTACCTACGTGTTAATTTCATGAATGCTGTTACCTTCCACCACGCTATCTCATACCGCACCTCAAGCGTTAGGCCGTTTTCCGACTTGTCGGTGCGGGAGCAGTGCGGATTCGTTTCGCTCGGTATACGCATAAGCGGTACTGAAAGCTTGCCGAACGCCATTGAGCTATTATGTACTACGTACTAGAGGCGACACTGCATTCAGCTACTCTGTTCCACACAACTGCGGTGCATATACCGCACTTTAATCAGTCACTCGCTAGGCGCTTGTAGAGTTATCACGTGTTGTGTTAATTTAAATAAAATCTCTTGATAAAAATATGCCGTCGCGTGTACTTAGATATTGCACAAATAATTCAAGAAATGTCAGTAAAAACCAAGGAATTACTTTTCATCGGTTAATAAGATACTTAATCAGTAAAAAAGTATTATGTATTAATAATAAAACAAATTATTCCTAAGACGCCATCTCGTGTCGGGGAATATAGATTATGAAATTAATATGTTCAGATGCGACATTTCTATGGATACTTAAGTATAGGACGAATATATTATTATACACATTTTTTGTAGGAACATATATAAGTTATTATAATTTGGCAAAATGTTTCATGTTTAAATCTGCTTATTATTCGTTTATTTTATTTTTAGGTTTCCACATCAAAGTCAAAGTGGAATAAATTCGTCCATTTTAACACTCGCGTGCCCAGCATTTATGAACGACTCTTATTCTAATTTAAATAATATATTTGTAATTTTAATGTTATGTTAATAAGTTTTGTTAAACATACAGTTAGTATGTTTT